GCCAGCAACTTGAGCCATCTTCTGCTGCCTTTCCAGGCTCATTGACAAAAGGCTAGATCAGAAACAGAGCAGCCAAAACTCAAATCTATACACCAAGTTTTTCCAACTCTTAGGAGTCCCTGAACTGGCTATTTGTACTAGATATCAGTTAAATTAAATTTGGCCAGTAGATAGCCTTGTATTGTGAGTCCCTACGTAATGATCTGCAGACTAGTTTTGTGTTTTGCTGAAAACCTAACCGAGGGGGAGGGTTACAAATAGCTACATTTCAACCAATCACAGAAACCAAATTAAAAGTCGATCACAGCAGCCATGTGATCAGGGAGATGCGCTCCTATGAACCAATCAGGAGTTTTCTGTGCTTTGTTCTACTCTCTGTCCATAAATACTATGTGTCCATGTTCTGAGCATGCTCCCTGGCCCTCTTCTGGCTGTGATGCCCGGCTGCTCCCTCAATTGCTCTTCACTCAGAAACCTCGCTAAATCTAGTTTTTTTCCCCCGTGGAACTTTTTTTTTAAACAGCCCATACTCAGCTCTGACCTCTTCATTCTCTGAGGAGGCTCACTTAGATTAGGTCTTTTTTTTTTTTTTCCTCCAACCATGAAGAGACAATATCAGCCATTTTTTAAAAAAACTTTAATTACCACAAAAGACTTGTGCACATACAGGCCAAAAGGGGTGATGAATAATCTATAATAGTATCTGTGATTTATTCAGCATCTAAGTTGTGCCAAGTAGTGAACACATTTTCTCTGATTCTCCTAAAACCAGTGTCTAGGAGAAGGCCTTGGAGTAGCAAGGGAGGTTTGTTGCAGTGACTTTAATTGGGTAGAGGAAAGATGGAGAGCCAGGTGCGATGAACTTATGTCAGGCATGTGTTCCAGACAGAGGTAAGAGAGAATGTGACTAATGTGAGGAATTAGGTTCAGTTTGGCTGAAAGTGTAGAAAGTAGGGAAAGGAAACAGGAAGATAGGGAGTGAGGTAGGTAATAGCAAACGATGAAACTGGAGAACCGGGATAGATTGTACGGGATTTTGGAAGTGACACTATGTAAATGGTAGGCAGGCATTTTTTTCCCTGAAGACAATGAGGAATCACTACATTTATGACATATTTAGTTACACGGAGTACAAGGGGTTGCAAGGAATAAAGCTGAGTTATGGCTATGGAGATGGAGAACCAGTAATTATGTGCCAGCTACTGGGATTCCATAAAGAAGTTATATTTTTATGGAGATATTTTATAGATGAGCATTCAGGTGAAATTTGGATCACACAAGACCCAAATAAATTCTCCTTCTCAAGACCTACTGAAATGTTGTGTTAAGATTTTCCTCTTTGTAATTTGCTTTTTCCCATTCTTGGTTTATCCCTTGTAAGCACTAGCAAGTATTAATAAGGGTTCTGTTGAAAAGTAGCTTCATTTTGAAATGAGAGAGAGGAAACCGCATGCTTCAGTAATGTCAGAATCTCCAGCGGAAGATACTGTGAACTTGTTTGTCTAAACACATTTTATTTGGGGTTCAGTATGAATTTTCAGTAGATGCTGTTTCAGATAAGAAAACGGTCATTGAAATGCAATTACATAAACAAGAAGCTCAGAGAGGAATTATTGTGAAGGGTATAAAATGAACAGAGAGTGTTCAGTCTGGGTCATCACACCGGCGGTTCGCCAATGCAAAGTAAGGTAGGTGTCTGCATGAGAAGGCTCTTGATGTGAAATGCTGTTCTAACTCCTGTTGACTTTCCCATTTTAGTCTTCATTCAAAAACGGCAAATGGCAAGAGATACTCTGCTTCAGTGGGTGCTAAACGTTTTAATCATGTACCCAATTCTTCCTTAGTGTGTGAAGGTGAGTAGGTTATGTGCATAAAGATAAAAGAAAGATGCTGCTGCTCTGTGAGAAGTAATTAATGGAGTCAGGACACAAATGAATGATGATTAATGGGCATGACTTTCTCCTGCTTACGTTTTTAATGTTTTTTTTTAAACCAATTGATTAATCTATAGATTAAATCCTTTCAATTATTAATGGTCATCTTGAATGAAAAGGTGGTGCTGGAAATTTTTGTAAGTTAAATTTTGATGGCCTGTAAGGATAATATGCTCTGCGTTAAAAAGGCCTTGTTAATTTCTTCCTAAGATTTATTTATTTTTATTGGAAAGGTAGATTTACAGATTGAAGAAGAGCCAGAGAGAGAGAAAAAGAAAGAGATCTTTCATCTTCTGGTTCACTCCCTAAGTAGTTACAATAACCAGAGCTGAGTTGATTTGAATTCAGGAGCAAGGTACCGCTTCTGGGCCTCTCATGCAGTACAGGGTCCCAAAGCATTGGACTGTCCTCTACTGCTGGTTTCTCAGGTAGGAGCTGGATGGGAAGTAGAGTAACCGGGACATGAACTGGTGCCCATATGGGATGCCAGAGCTTGCAGGCAGACGACTAGCCAATTGAGCCATTGCGCTGAGCCCTGTTAGTTTTTAAATAGCTGTTCTCCCCTGCCCCCAGGATAGTGTCCGAGACATACACCCACCTTATAGTATGTGTTGCTCTCTAGCAAAACACACTACTTTATTTAAGTTCTAGGTTTATGGGCTGGGCCATCGATTCTCTTCATAGCTTACTAAGGATCTGGGAAAGACAAGATTTGTGGAGGAAATTATTGGAGTAAAGAGAAATGTATTTATTAATAAGAAAATTGTGGTAAGGTGGACAGAGAAGGGAGAAAATGTAGAGAAAATGGCCAAGGAAAGAAAATGTCTTGGAAAAAGGGAAAAGATGAAAAGTGTAGACAAGTACACACTACTGAATCAAGCACCTCTCACATTTAAGGCCAGCTTGAAACTATATTTTCACTTGATTTTGTCCAAAAGGCCAAGAAACAATATGAAATTGTGTCTTCTGTTCTGAAGTGCTCAATAAATCATATATGATGATTTTAAAAGAGGCAGTTAAAGTGCAGAGAGGGGAACACAGGTGACAATAAAGAAGAAATCGAGGTAAATCATACAGGAAGGTATTAACATCAATTTATATGGTGTTTTAGTTATATGACTTTTTCTATTGCCTTATTCTTTTTATGATTTAGGAAAGGGCATGCAAAAAAAAATAGTGGCCCAAAGACATAAGGTAGTTTTTCTCTTTATAATAAACAATTACAGGAGAAAGAATAATTCAGATTGTCTTAATTCACAAAATTGTACAGCTACTATAGCTGGAGTGCAGCAGTTATAATTTTAGAGTTGTGTATGTATAAGAGAAATTTTATAATGTTTTAAAACACTGATTTATTTTTATTGGAAAGTCAGATACACAGAAAAGAGGACAGAGGAAGATTTTCCGTCTATTGATTCACTCCCCAAGTGGCTGCAACAGCTGGAGCTGAGCCTATGTAAAGCCAGCAGCCAGGAGCTTCTTCCTGGTTTCCTACATGGGTGCAGGGTCCCAAGGCCTTAGGCCATCATTGACTGCTTTTCCAGGCCACCAACAGGGAACTGGATGGGAAGTGGGACTGCCAGGACACAAACCATCTCCCATTTTGGGATCCCTGGTGCGTTCAAGATGAGGACTTTAGCCACTAAGCTACCGCACCAGGTCCAAGAGAAATTTTAAATAAAACAGTGTGTCCATAGTGCATAGGGCTAAATGCCTGTGGGAGCTATCAGTCGACCCAGGTCTCCCACATGGTGGCAGGGAACCAGCTCCGTTCCTCGGATGTGCATCAGCAGGAGGCTGGAACAGCAGACATCCTGGCATTGCATGTGAACGTGCCAGGTGACATCTTAGCCTGATGGGTAAAGTGTACAGAGTGATAATGTACTGAATAAAACAAGAAGGTTTGTGTTCATGGGCAATACCGGAAAGTGTTTTTTTTTTGTTTTGTTTTTGTTTTTTTTTTTGTTTGTTTGTTTTTTACTGACAGTGATACAGAGAAGAAAAAAAAAATCCAAACATATCCAGCTAGCCGCACAATATTAGTAAAATAAAAAAAATCTTCTTAATCTTTGAAGTGATCGACTTACATTGAAATGTCTGAAATTTGATTACCCTCGCCCAGTAGCAGAACTAAAATAATTCTAAGTCATAACATCATCCAGATCACTATGATGTCCGATTAATACTGCGCAAACTCTCCATCCGAAGGATGCATGATCTACCTTCTCCTGGGGAACAGTGGACCCTCTCCATGCACCAAAAACCACTCACTGTTCTTGGCCAGCTTATAAGGGCTCTTTTGATTGCATTATTATTATGCCAACCTTTATTTTTTTGGTCACCATAATCTTTTAGAGAGGATGAATTTTATTACACTCTGTAAAAATGAACTTTTACTTTTCCAACTCTATTGTTTCAACCTTGAGGAAATCTTCAAAGAATTCAGAAGGAAGGTTTCCAGGTTTCTGAGTTTACCCATTTAACAGCAGTGATAATCTATTTGATACACTTATATGGACTTTCCTGAGCTTCATAATGTCTCCTTTGTCTGACAGTGAATTGAATTCTAGGCCAGAGTATATGCACTGAGTTGGTACTGAGGTATAACATATCAGCTCACTTCTTGTATCCGTAAAGGTGGGTGTTTGCATTGTATTTCTATCTGCTGCATCATTTTTTCATTCTCCTGAACCTGCCTCTCTGCCATTTGTCTGCCGTGGTTTTAAATTTCCATGCCCTTGGAGTTTTATGGGTCTTGGAAGTAGGATTTCCACTCTGAGGGCTACTGCACTGTGGAGAATTTGGATCACAGCCACATCCTGATATATAAGTGGAAGGTTAGTGAAGAAAAGCATTGAATTGGTAAAAACAAGCAAACAAAAAGCCAAAAAACTATAGGGCAAGGGAAAGGTAGGCATTCAGTAAATGGTAGTTGTAATTATTGGAAATGTGTAAATGTTTGTGAAAAATGAAGCTTAATGGTAATGTTCATTTCCCATTTGTTGAAGTGCCCTCGGTGAATGTCTTAAAATGTAATGGGTTCTTTAATTTTGTTTTTGATTTAGCATGACTGCTACCTTCGTGATCTCCATTCTTTTTGGCCTTGCGTGTGGACAGGTGATGTCTTTTTGTGTTCCAACTGAGTATACGATGTACGTTGATAGGAGAGAGTGTGCTTATTGCCTAACCATCAACACCACCATCTGTGCTGGATATTGTATGACACGGGTATGTAGTTTATCTCACTTCTTTCAGCTGTAAATTATATAAGCAGTCTATTTCCATCCAGAGAGGAAATGAAACAAATCCCAACCTCATTTCCCAAATCCAACAGAATTGAGGATGTGGGTTACAATATTATGTGGTTCTTCTCTGAACAATGGGTACAGATAAGTTGAAAAAAAAAGTTACTCCCCAGATTTATTTCAACTTTATCTTATTTCTGTGATCAAGGATGAAAGAGAGGAAGGTGTTACATTTGTCTTTACAGGATTCAGTGTGGGAATGGCAAGTTGGTATTGGGAAGAAGGCTAATGAATTCTTGCCCCTCTTATTTGTGACAGAAAAACATGATTGAGTTGATTTCTACCTGTTTCTATTACATACATGTTCTCTGAAGCTATTGCACTGTGCTCTTCCCACAGGATATCAATGGCAAGCTGTTTGTTCCCAAATTTGCTCTCTCCCAGGATGTATGCACATATGGAGACTTCATCTATAGAACTGTGGAAATACCGGGGTGTCCACACCATGTTGCTCCTTATTTCTCGTATCCTGTTGCTGTGAGTTGTAAGTGTGGCAGGTGTAACACCGATTATAGTGATTGCACACATGAGACCATCAAGACAAACTACTGCATCAAGCCTCAGAAGTCCTACCTGATGGGATTGTCTGTCTGATTTTAGTGATGCAATTTCCAATTTGGGTCAGTGTGTTTGCCTGGGATAAACCAAATAAACTGTGTTTCTCAACACCAGGTGTGTATTCTGAGTACTATTTCATACATATTCATGTTCACGTGGGCGTCAGAGAGTTCAAGAGGTGGGTAATTAATTATGACAAACACATTATCCTAACAGGAGACACTGCTGTTGAGGGAAGCTGGTGATTGTAACTATCACCACACTACAATATTGACAGTGCAGGAAGAAGGGAGTAGGGCATGTGGAAACTCTTTGTATTGCTTCACAACTTTTGTGAATTTAAAACTATTCTGAGGTCAAAAATTAAAAACATTAAAGCTACCCTGAAAAGTCTGTGGTTCTCATGGAGAAGAGAGGAGTGAAACAGAGAATTGAGTTAATAGGTGCTAAGGGACACCAACCTGGTGGGGGAGGGCGCCTCTCCTCATGGAAGGCTGGGAGGTTTGTCTTGACATAGGAAGTGAATTCAGGGTCATTCTAGAATTAGTAAGAGAAGCTAACGTGATCAGAAACAGAAGCTTCAGGGTACTGGAGACTCAAACATACTAAGCATATTTTATCTTAGTTATCTGAAAGTACTGGATAAAACTCCATCAAAACTCAGAAAAAGAAAATATGGAGGGCCCAGCGCGGTAGCATAGTGGCTAAAGTCCTCATCTTGAATGCTCCAGGGATCCCATTTGGTCGCTGGTTCTAACCCTGCTGGCTCCACTTCCCATTCAGCTCCCTGTTTGTGGCCTGGGAAAGCAGTCGAGGACGGCCCAAAGCCTTGGGACCCTGCACCTGTGTAGGAAACCAGGAAGAAGCTCCTGGCTGCTGGCTTTGCATTGCTCAGCTCCGGCTGTTGCAGCCACTTGAGGAGTGAATCAATAGATGGAAAATCTTCCTCTCCATCTCTCCTCCTCTCTGTATATCTTACTTTCCAATAAAAATAAAAAATAAATCTTTTGTTTTTAAACTGGAGACAGGTTCTTTTTAATTACCCTGGTGGGCTAACTAACTTATGAAAGTTATATCCCAAAAGGTCAATTTACAAAGCCTAGAAAAGAGGCCACGATCATTTTACATGTGGATGTCTAAATCCTTCATAATTCTTCAAGTAACAGGAGACACTTTGTTTGCACTGTTTTGGCTTTGGATATCATGGAAAACTAGTACAATTATGAAAGCTGAAATAACAAAGAGGGTGCTAAGGGATTGCATACAGCTAAATCATTCTAAATTCCCATCTAAGCCTTCATCAGTACAGAAACACTGCTGGTAAACAGGCCTGATAAATGAATGTTTCTGTTCCTTTTTCTTTCTTAGATGCTCTTTTGTGGGAGTTTAGTTTCAACAGATGTCTAGCATGAGGCAGAACTTGGGTCCTGCAGCCTTGTTCTCAACTGTTGTGGGCTAAGGAGTTGATTAGTGCTGGTTGGGCTAGGCAGGAACAGGAACTGGGCTTGAGCTAAAAACACCTAGACTAATTGGAGTCATCTGTATCCAATTTCCTGCCTAAATTAGGACATGGGGGGGGGCGGCAGGGAAGAGTACATAAGGAGAGGTGAAGGAGCAACAGAGCGCAGAGATTTCTACCATCACTGGTCTCCTGTTGGTGCTTCATCCCCAGTTCCTCTCCCTGTCCACCTTACTGGCACTGTTGGCCGGAGCAAATGGCACCTAACGTGGGGCATGGCACAAGGGGCAACCTGAGGGGCCCCTGGACCTGTGAAGGTAAGTTTAGAATTAAAAATTTTGCAGGGGCATAAGTGATTTCATCCCCAGACCCTCTCCCCATCCTTGGGCACAAGGAATAATCGGAGGGACCCTGGAAATCCGGAGGCAAGCTTAGAATTAAATATTTTGCAGGGGCATAAGTAAAATTTATCATGGGGCAAGAACTCGCGGAAGTACAGATGATTAAGGGAATCAGAGATCTGCTCCAGTCACAAGGCACCAACACTAAGACTAAGACATTGCAGAAGTCCGTTGAAACTGCCTGTGACATATCCCCATGGTTTGCTCTCCTTGTAGCCACCTTTTTCCTCTGGCACTTGGTAAAAAATGTTTCATCATTCCCTCAAGCGGTGGTGCAACCCTTTCTTAAAAAATTGTCCATAAGAAGGGGGAGGGAGCCACAAACCAAAGTCAGAAGCCAGAGAACCACAAGCCAGGGTAAAAAAGGAAAAGGAACCCCAGACCAGACTAAGTCTGGAGAAACTGCGCGAAGATGATTCATGGTCCTCTTCTGAGGAGCAGGAAGGGAAGAGGATGGAAGCGAGTCTTCCAAAAATCCTCCACCTGCCAGGCATGGAGCCCTCTGTACCACCTGTGCCGGCAGTGCCATTAAATCTGGGCGTAGCTGTGGAAGATTTACAGGAGCAATCTCAGCACCTCTCCCTTCAGTTGAAGCAGGGTGGACGCACTGCCGGGGCTTGTGGTGGACTTGCTTTCTACTTCCCTTTCAGCTGTGGAACATGTGGCACAGCAAGTGCAGGAGCAGGGAGACCCTGAGGCAGCTGCCTTTTCCTTCCTGGTGGTTGAGGTAGGAGATCAGCAAGGGCAGAGAATTGGGCAACACTATCTTTTAATGACATAAAGAATCTGAGGGACGCTGTAGGCCATGTATGGCCCTTCGGCTGCCTTTATTGTTTCCATGATTGAAGCCTAGGCATCTAACAATTAGATCCCACCCATTGGAAGCTCGGCTGAATGTTTTGCTCTAGTAGCAATTCTTGGGATGCTGATTTTGTTAGTTAGGCCTTCTATTGCCAGCAGCTGGCTGCTTTTGATTTATCCAGACCTCCATTTCCTGACCTTAAATTTTCTGTTGCCTGGTCACCCACTGTTTAAATATTCTATAAAAAAAAAAAAGGAAAAAGGTCTAGGAAAAAAAGAACGATTTTATAGAACTTGTTCCCTAGGTTTGCAAATTGTACCTTGGAAGGTCTTTTTGTTGTGATAAATGTTTAGCAAGCTGACTTCATGTGCACATCCATGGTAACTTTTTGGAATTTAGAATTCAAAGATTTTTGTTTCTTGTAACTCTTAAGGTTTCATTCGTGATATTTTAAAAAATGTGCAATTTTATCACAAGTGATTTGGCATAGAATTAAACTAATGTACTATTAAATTATTTCAAAGTATAAGTTAAATTAATGTTGTATTTATTATATACAAAGCATTTTTATGTTAAAGTGATTCTGGTCTTTTCGGCTGGTTATCAAATTTTTCACTGCTTTAAATTGGTAAAGGTTTTGTATTTGTTTTAAAGGTATTTGAGTGTTGATTTCTTTTCAATAACTGAGTCTAATCTATAATATGTATTATTTGTATTATTTATCTTAAATTTCCTAACATTGGATGCTGAAGGATGATCTGCTGCAGATCGTCATTGGAATCTGTCTCAGAAGCATAAGGATTACATGATGTGGAAGGATCCCTTGACTGGGCAGTGGCAAGGCCCAGATTCCATCCTCATATGGGGGCGAGGATCAGTTTGTGTTTTCCCAGAAAATGAAAATGGCCCACGGTGGATTCCTGAGAGGCTTGTCTGGCAAATTTCTGCTGCTAAGTCTTGTGAAAGCTTGGGTACTGGCCATGGTGATGGCATTTGAGTCGGAAGATCAATGGGACAAGCAAGTATATTAGGCCTTTATATATTATATAAGTATATTAGTATATTGTTAAGCACCCCCTTTTTTCTTCCTCCTATGAGCACCAAGGTCCCGATATTTCCTGCCTTTGCTAAGTGGCAGCTTTGTGGGGTATGGGCATGCACTGCATGTCTCCCCTTTTTCTTATTAAGGGAGGCAATTATTCCTATGGAAACTATCAGTTCAATCACTTCACTGGATTTGAGGACTTGCTCACATGGGTGAACCTTAGCTCCTTGAATTTTAAGCCCGTGTCTGCCTGTATTATCTCCCTGTTTTTCTCTCTTACATACAGAAAACGTCTCTGAAGTGAATTGCACCAAGCTCAGCTGCATCCTAACAGCATGTTGGAACAGTAATGGCAATACTGCTGTTGTCATTTGGCTGCCTGGAATCCTGCCTGTGCCGTTCAGGGCTAACGAATGACCTGATAAGGCATTAAGCCAAAAAAAGACCTTGACATAACATCGACCATTGTAGCCAGCATTGCCCTGGTGTCGGAGGACACCCTACAGCTACCGTGGAGACTGAACAAGCTCACAGAACAGACTGCCCGAGTTATGGAACAACATAACTCTATTGATGAACACGTGCAGGTGAGCATGCTTATGTTGTAACAGCAGGTTGATTCGTTGGCAGAGAAGCAGCAGATGCTGTGGGATATGGTCAGGGCCTTTTGTTCCCTATCATATGTCTTTATGTATGTAACACAAATGCAAGTGCAAAATGTTTCCCAAGCCCTGGAACTGCTGTCTGCTTATTGCTACTGAGCTAAAGATACTCCTAGCCATGGAACAGGGTTACAAGCCTCCCCAAGTATGATTTGTGCAGCTGCAGCAGGCAAAGAGTTGAATGGCAGCCAGTGACCGGTAAGATGGACTGGGCACTGACCAACCTAAGACAGGGGCTCTGCCATGCTTTGGAGATTCCTGGTGATGGGTAAGGCTGATGACCTGACAGTCCACAACATAAGACAGGCACATTCAAGTCTACTTTAAAACAAAAATGGGGACCTGTTGTGGGCTAAGGAGTTGATTAGTGCTGGTTGGGCTAGGCAGGAACAGAACTGGGCTTGGGCTAAAAACACCTAGACTAATTGGACTCATCTGTATCCAATTTCCTGCCTAAATTAGGATGGAGGGGCAAGAGTATACAAGGAGAGGTGAAGGAGCAATAGAGCGCAGAGATTTCGCAGAGGCTTCTACCATCACTGGTCTCCTGTTGGTGCTTCATCCCCAGTTCCTCTCCCTGTCCACCTTACTGGCACCGCTGGCCGGAGGAGCACTCAACCAGGCTAATTCTCTATTTGTTTACTATTCGCCATTCACACTTTGACCATTAAGATGAAAATCAACTGTTGGAGCACAAACTGGCTTTGCTGAACTCTATAGCACTCATGAATGTCAGCTGGGTGACTTGCAGGTGCCTGCATGTCACCTGTACCAGGGGTAGGGACCATGAGGTAGTACAGATGACTAGTGCAAACCCATGCTCTGCCAATGTCAATTGGGTCACTCATTCATAAGCCAAAGAGTCAGGAACCCCCGTTGTTTTAGCCCAGCTCCTGAGGTTGGCATTCAAATTGTCTCCAGATATTAATATGGAGGTCTTGGGTTTCCATATTAGTTTTAAACATAGCTTTAAGCAGCCTAGAACTTTAAGTGTTTATCTATCCAATACAGTTATTCAATTAATGAATAAAAAGTCTAATGCCCAAATACAATCACTGCTAGTCAGAAATGGCTTCCATGACGGTGATTTTTTTTTTTCCCTGAAGGGTTTGAACTGTAAAAAGCCCGAGAGGTTACGGGAGATCCATTGTAAACAGCCCGACTCAGAAATGCAGGCTTTTTTAGTATGCAGGCAGCCGGTCAGGCCTGGCCATACATGTGGGACACAGAACTTCAGAGCGGATGCATCAAAGAGAAGTTTGTTTCCTCTCACTGAAGGCCATCCATTTGGAATAGAATTACTCACACATTAACCAAGTCAAAGTATTCTTGAATACCAGGGCTGTCTAAGACAGAAAATCCTGAATATGGAGACCAGGGATTGGAATGCTCAATAATTTGTCTCAATTGGATCCAGAAACTTGAGATATGGAGATGCTGTTTTGAGGGGTCTTGGTGTTCTTTGAGTTTAAGACAGACAGAATGAATAACAGAGTTTAGGAATAGGAAGGTGAAGAATCATGGTCTATGGAACAGCAGACAGAAATTGGCACATCTGAAGCCAGTTTTAAATGTGACCTAAAACTTAAAGTTAGTTGTCGGTAGAACTTTGAAACTCAGTGTTTGCTTTTCCTCCTCGCTTTTTTTTTTTTAAAGAAAGTTTCTCTTATTCGACTTTGGAATATAAAGAGCTCTTTCATAAACTGGATGGAGTTGGGATTAGTGCGACACAATCCCTGCTTTTCCGATGGCCAAACTCTTTAGGAGTAAGTGAGTGTACTGGGATGGATATGTTGGCAGGTAGTAGCAGAAAATTGTAATAAAAACTGTTCTTCAGACAAGAAATTGCCTTTTTTTTAAAAGCAGCAAGTGTAAGTACATAATAAGAATTCTGAATTTTGGGGCTGGCCCTGTGGCATACTGGATTAAGTCACCGCCTACAATGCTGGCATTCCATATAGGTACTAGTTTGTATCCTGGCTGCTTCACTTACAACCCCCTTCCTGCTAATGTGCCTGGGAAAGCAGCAGAGGATGGCCCAAGTGCTTGCATCCCTGCATCCTTGTGGGAGACCAGGAAGAATCTCTTGGCTCCTGGCTTTGGCCTGAGCCAGCCCCAGCCACTGTGGCCATTGTGGGAATGAACAGGCAGGTGAAGGATTGTTCTTTATCCTGGTCTCTCTCCCTTTCTCTCTGTGTAACTCTGTCTTTCAAATATATAAAATAAATATTTTTTTTAATAATTAACTCCCACTCTAATCCTATTGTTCTGTGTTGGGTTATTCACCCTCTCATCTATCCTAGTTACCTTTGTCTTACTTTTTAAGACAATTTCGTCTCAAGTTCTCTACTTCTGCAGCTACCCTCCTTTTACCTGCTGTATCTGCCTCGATAGTGCCTGGGTTTCTTTAGGTAGTTGCATTTTGCTTTTTCCTTTGGACGTTTCTCCCCATCACTTTCAGTTCTAGTGGTTGAGTCAGTCTGATGAGTGGCCTGCGACACAGGCTCAACTTAACCTGCTTCTTTAGGGCACGGGCATGTGTCTTGGTCTCTTCTGGGAGAACTCAGTTTCCACCCTACTTCATACTTTACTATACTGTTTGGATGAATATGTTAGATGTTTAGGTAATTTGTGTGAAAATGCATAGAAAGCTATAAGAGGCTTTTCAGACAAACCAAACAATTCCAGTACATAGAAAATTTAATTTGAAATAAAGTATTTCATCATTAAGAAGTTTCAATTTGGTGCCTTGGCAGTACAGGGCTAAGAAAATGTTTGGGGCTTCTCTCACAAAATTAGTTCAGAAAAACAAACAACCCAAAATTTATATATATATATGTGTATGTGCACACACATACATACACACACACGCTTACATACACACACAAATGTGTATACATATATTCAGATAACATTTGTATATATTCAACATATATGTATTCAAGATATATATATATTCAAGATATATAGGGGTTATAGATCTCTATATAGATAGGCCTGTATCTATATACTTACACACGCACATATTTATTTATCTGATCTCTGTGAATGTGCAAATATAAAATCTACTCGCATGCCGTGGTGGAATTCTAAACCTCTACCCATGGCACATATTCTGGAAAGTTCACTTCCAAGAGGGCCATGCTAATTATCTCTGGAATAGATCCTTACTCTCCCACTTAAAAATATTTTAAAAAATGAATTTATTTCTATTATTTTACTTTTCACTATTTTGGACTTCTTTAAGGTTACTCACTCCTAGAGGAAATGAAGCTCTCTTTTGTAGAACAGAGCTAATTCTGAGCTGGAAAGAACCTGAGTATTCGCTTGGGCCTAACCCAGCCTCCAGGGAGGCGGATGAACTAAAGCTATTAAGAGATGGACTGACTGTCCTTTACTTTACAGACTGCATTTGTCAGCTCTGGGGGCGGGGGGCACAAATATCTATTTCATGAAGTGATTTTTGTCTTTTAATTGTGTCTATAGACACAGTGAAGTAGCCATGCATCATTCAGTGTGTAGCGGTAACAAGCCTGGCGGAACAAGCAATGCGGTTCTCTGTGGGAGTGAGACACATGGAAGAGGCACACTTGGAGAGTTCCGAAGCCCCCCTACACATTCACTTTTGTGTGGTATTTTAAAATGCAATAAAAAAATCCAGGTTGTATTAAAATAACAGGTTACAAAGACTATTGATAAATACTCTCCTTTAGTTTCTAACTGTGGGTTTACGTGTTCAAAACCAAGTACTAAGAGAAAAAAATAAAACAAAGGTATACTTTCATGGAGGACTTGCACAGAAAGAACACATTGTAGTGTGTGTGTGTGTGTGTGTGTGTGTGTGATGTATGCAGAAAACGATTTTTGTTTCCTTAACCTGCATCTGTGCCATGCAAACAACTAAGATAATTTTTTTAACTTGGTCAAAAATTCTCATAATATAATACTTGAATTATTAAGTACTGTGTTTTAATTGTTTTGGGTGGCAAAAACTTCAGCTCTTATTCTACAAAGGAGAAATCCCTAGGTGAATAAATAGGAAAAATAGAAAAAAATCAGGAAAATATGTAAACTTGAGTTATGAGGTATTTCAGAGATACAATGCCAGGAAAAATTCTCTTTCTTGCAATTTGCAACTGCCAGATCTCTTGCTTTAGTTTTTCTGCTCTTCCATTTGGAGAAACAGAGAAGAATCTAAGGAAAAAAAAGCCCTTTGAGGATGTGAGGGTGGCAGTAGTTCAGATCAGATCCATAAAAGGAAAAATCAAAGCAATCAATATTTACATGTCTTTGTGTAAGACGACTCTGCCTGGGGTTCACTTGTGTGTGTGTGTGTGTGTGTGTGTGTGTGTGTGTGTGTGTGTGTGTGTAAGTCCAAAAAGCACTGACTCTTACAGGATACATGATTGTCTGAGTAAGTACTCTTTCCAGAGGGAGGTTTGTGTTTTTAAATACTAGGAAAGCATGACTTATTCAAATTAGATTTTCCATGCTGTATTTAGTTATGCAGATGTGTTTAGTTCTAAAACTATCATTGATTGTATTCTGGGAAGGGAGAGCATGTACATGGAAGCACCCTAGGAAACTACTACAGCAACTTGGACACAGGCAGTCCTGACTCTGCATCAGGTCTGCACGGCTGTAGCCTGTTGCTTGCACTGACTAGAAACCCCTGGATTCTCTGTATCTAACCTCCTATGGCTATGATCTGAGAAGCTGATGTGTTATCAACTTTCTTTGAATAACCAACTATTAAAAGTTTCTCAAGACTTTTTTTGGATTTTTTTTCCCTGCTAGTTAAAAAGGTTATTCTTCTTAGATAACAAGAATCAGAAATTCCCAGCAAACAAATCTTGTTGTGTGTAATGCATATACCAGAAACACTCAAATCACATGTGAATAGGCACTCAGTCAACACACATAGGAACTCACTCAAGGGGCAAATGGGTAAGAGCCAAACATACACACATGTGCAAATGTACAACAAACAGCAAATTCTTTTAGAACCTAACGTACTTTGAATTGTTAAAATGAGCTGGAAGACAGCCACGGTGACATGTAGTAGCAAGATTCCGGGTTGTGGCTTTTGTGTGGAAGTAGTGCTGTCATATCACATCTCGAGAGTTTCGTATCGCACAGCAGAGGACCATACTGAATATCATGCCAAAGATCTGAAACAGAGGGAGCCACTCGTTAGGGACCTGCAATGTGTGTGAACTCATCTCCAGCTCAACACACTGCCCAGGGAACTAACCCAAGTTAACAATTATAACCAATAATTATTCGTTAGAAATATCATTGGGGTGGGAGTGCCAGTGTGTCGCACTGAAATAAGCTACGCCTGTGTTACAGACATTGCATATCGGAGTGCTGAGTTAAGTCTTAGCTGTTCTGTTTCCAATCCAGCAACCTGCTAATGTGCTTGAGAAAACAGAATATGCTCTCAGTATCTGGGTCCCTGGGGGACATGGACAGAGTTCTGGGCTCCTTGCTCCAGCCTGGCCCAGTGCTCACTCCTGGGGGTCACTGGAGCCATTTGGGCCATTGTGCCATTGGGTCCATTTGGGGAGTGAACAAGCAGATCTCCATCCCCTACCCATGCCTTTCAAACAAAAAGAGATTATAAATGCTACTTTTCCATACATTGCTTGATGACAGCTACTGAGCAAAGGTGTCCATGTCAACTCTGCCTGGGGTTCACTTGCTACTCTTATGAACAAGTAACGGGGTTCTGATGTAAAAAAGGTGCTCTGTGTCCAACTTACAAAAAGGTTCTTACAGATGTGAAAGACCAATACAGTCCTGATTTGGGGATGTTACATTTCAGGTTAACCCTAGATATCTTTATATACATAAATGTTTTGAAAAATGTGTATAACAACTTTTTTAAATACACTTGTGGTATAAACACTTTTTTTTCCCCCTAAGTGTTAATTTACCCTTGTACCAGCAGTTAAACTACATGGTTCTATTTCAAGATGACATTTAAAAATTGTTCTATTGCAACAGCAGCAAAAACATAATTCTGCAATTACAAAAAAGAGATAAACTGGAATTTATAATTTATTTCATGTTTACAAGTATGATTCTGAAATAAGTACTACTAAGCAACTGCCATGTAAACTTTGGGCTTAAGCATGCCCACAAACACACATGCGCATGCTTTTGCAGTTGTGGGAAGATTCACAAGTTACATTCCTTTAGGAGACAACTAGGGATAAAAACTAAAGTACTCATCGTTCTATGACGCAGGCAGAAAAACAGTGAATGAACTGGGGTTAAAATAGGACTCCTCTGCTTGGCACCCAAAGCAGATGCTATGCTGCAGCAAACTGGGAATAACTTCAAGCTTAGCCTGCTGTGTTCTTTAGGATTGATGTCATCACAAGGATTTCAGAAGGGGGACATGTTGACACGGTTAAGTGCATTTTGGTGACATTGTGCTAAGTTGAGTCCCTTGCAAGCTCTGTTAGTGAACAAGCCTTCATCAATGTGAGTTTTACCATAACTGCCTGGCTCTCTCATTTTATCCTGAGAAGTCAGATTGCGATCTGCAAATCCCAGCATCAACAAAGGCATGAATGACCAACTGTTTTGAATGGGCAAGGGGAGACTTGTAAGGCTGGAGCCAGGAGCAGGATTTTAGGCTTCTGCCTAACAGACCTCAGTCCTGGTGTGTAACAGGAGAGACACCTAATGGACATTTGGGTCACTGATTATACAGTGCAACTCTCACCTTAAAAAGAAAAGGGTGAGTGAGGGCGCTGATGTGGAATGATCACCCTCATTCTGGCTGCACCCCTGTCTCGGCCTGCTGCTGTCAGAGGTTAGGTGGGATGGCCTCCAGGCTGCTCATTCGCTGAGATTGTAGGGATTGATTTGATGTCTCTATTGCGCAGAATGTTTTCAGACCTCTTGCCCCAGGATTGTTCTTGGGAGTCTCTGAGTTGTAATTGGCTGAACACCCAAGCAGGTGGGGGGATAACTCGAATGTGTTCATAGAGTTGGTTATTCTCAGCAGAACATTCATAGCCACTGCCTTACCCCTTTGCTTTAAATACAGAAAAGGGTTCTGATCACTTCTTAGCAGGTCTTCATGATCCCTGTCTTGCCTGTCCAATTGCTCTTCCACCTTATACCAGAGCCCCTGCCAATGCTCAGAGGTTCCTGCTCCTTGAAGACGGAGGCCAGTCCCCCAAAAGGGCACAGAGGGCTCTCAGTCACGTGGACCTGTGGCCCTCCCCAGCATCATCACCAGCTACCTGGCCATACTCTTTTGCTGCTTTCACTTCTTCCTCCACACTCTTCCTTTGTGTTTTAGAAGTGGGGATTCCCCTGCAGGTGCCTGGACGCCCCTTGCTACACACCTTCTCATATGCTAGTTCCTTTGACTGAATTCTGGGTGTAGGAACAGAGCTGGCATTCACTGAGTAGTGTATGTGCCACACACACTCACAGGAATAAATTCATGTAATATTTCCTGAGTAATACCCAGTTTATTTTGTTTTAAGGTTTACTTTCTTGTCTTGAAAGGCAGAGCAACACACACGCGGGTGTACACACACGCACACACACACAAACATCATCCATCTGCTGGTTCATTCTCCAAATACCTGCAACAGCCAGGACTGGCCAGGCTGAAGCCAGGAGCCAGGTCCTCCATCTGGATGGGTGTAAGATGGGTGGCAGGGCCCAAGCACTTGGGCCATCATGTGTTGCCTTCTGGTCTGCGTTAGCAGGAAGCTGGATCAGGGCAGAGGACTCAGGACTTGGCACTCCAACACAGAATGCAGATGTCCCAAGCAGTGGCTTAAAAATGCAGCCACAACAATGCCCACCCCTGTAGTGTCTCATCTGATCTTTACAATGATCCTATCAGGTTGGTATATTAAAATCTCCATTTTCCACAGGAATTGAAGCCTGAAGAAGCTAGGAAAGTTTCCTACAATCTTAGGGCTGGTGAGTAGTAGAACCATGAGTTGAATCCAAAGCAGGTGATGCCACAGCTTGCCACATTCATCAACATGTTGTGAGACCTCTTCAATCGACAGGTGAGATTGATTAACCTTGTATCCTGTTATTTTAAATGTCTAGCTGTGGGAAGAGATTCAGAGTCGAAAAACAACCATCTAGATTAAAATTGGTGGTGTTAGACTGGGAAGTCATTTCAATAACCAACTCAAGGCCATAATTCAGTAAAATTAAACCTTTGGATTACATTTTAGAGAACTAAGTATTGATATATTTAACTAGATTTGCTCTTAGAAAATGTGCTGTGGACAAATGACTTGGTCATTCCTGAGAATTCACTTCACTCTTGGAGAAACAAAATGAATAGGCTCAAGACATCTCAGAGAGTAAAAAAGGTTATATTCTGAAATTTGCTCACCGTGAGTCCTGCAATTCCAATGCCAACAATTCCAATGAGCTGAAGCTTTATGCTGATTATGGTTTCAATTTCGTCAATGCAATTCTGTTTTTGGGGAAAAACAGATAACAAATAAGAAAATGTGTGAATCATAACCCTGATCCAATCCTTTTCATTCTTTTCAGATCATCCTTGGGTTAAGCCATGTTAGCTTCTGTTCATATGTAAACCATTCCCTTTGGACAATACCATCCTGACAGCCTTAAAGCAAAGGCATGGTTTGGGAGAAAAAAATAATCCTTTCCTTTTGTTAGGATATGCCTATTTAGGCCAGTGGTTTCTTCAGAACAGTGAAATCTGGTTGGAAGAAATAAGCTATTGCTGTGGAATCTGGGGCATTTACAAAGAAAAATAAGTATAATATCCTTAAATAACAAGTGTTCATTTTGTACTGTCACTGGTAGTTTGAAAAGCTTTCTATGTACTTGATCCATTTAGTAGGCAAAGTAGACAGCTGAAAGCCTGTACAGAAGACCATTCTCTTCTTTGGTTGCTGGGCCGGACTGCCTGGGTCCCTGTCCTTGCGTCCACAAAAGGGCAGTGGGGGAGGGGCGATATTGGACAGAGAGCAGAACAGGTACCCTAGAGCCACCATTGGTTTCTTGAACTTCAGAAGCTTCTACTTGGGCCCCTCTTAAATGAAGGTGTGCTCCCATTCAACTGTGCTGGTCAGGTCCTGTCAACAGGCAGCTCAATCTGACAGTGATGGAAGCTGCAGCAAACACTGTGTTCTCGAGTCTCCAAAACTCATTATCATTCATTCCCTCAACAGTCAGTTCCTGCACCAGACACTGGAATGGGGTTGTGGAGGTACAGACAGAAGACAGGGCTTCTTCAGCACCCGGGTCACTCGTGTTTTGAGAGTGACACAGACTCACACACCATTATGATAATACACTCTCATTCAAGTTTGAGAATCTTAACTCATTGGGGAAAATGGGAATTGACAGCTTTTTATGCAGCAATGGTCATAGTGTCGTAAGAACAAAATGTTGAAAGATCATCAACATGTGGCAGCAGGAGATTGCTTAAAGAAACAGCGACCTTCCAGTTTCTGGTAGCAACTGTTCCAGCCTTCCTGCGTAGATGCAGAGATGCCTTGTCTTAGGGAATGAACTATGAAGGGAACTAGTGGCACCACGCCTGACGCCTTTTCCTCCCCCAGCAGCTACAGGGGTGCCGTTCTCCATGCTCTTCCAGGTCTCCTTCCTCTCATTTTCTCAGAAGCCTGTACTGCCAATCACCTTGTCCCGTCCAACTCCATCATCATTACCACCACTCATCAATGGACATGGTACTCAAGTTCTTTAAACTAACACGAACCAAACAACCCCTGCACTGAAAGTTCTTCGAAACTGTGATTCTTGGTTGCCAAACGTTTTGTGACATGGGTGGACCATAATTTATTTTAAGCAATCTCCTACTGTTACATGTTAATGATCAATATTTTGTTCTTAAAAATAATATTTTAGACAGCATGATTGTACACAAATCTCGGTTCACATTTCTGATTCCTTCTCCTTAGAATAAATTCAGAAAAGCAGACTTTCTGGATCACAGGTCATGGCCTGACATGCTCTAGTCTGGCCCAGCCACGCTGATCTTTAAGATGATTGCACTGATTTCTCTGAACATGCTTACTCTCACGTTCTGTTAATAACAGCATATGGTTATTACGGCACAGAACACTTGGTCACTCTCACAGGTTCAACAGGTGTGGCCTCTTCACTTTAATTGGCTGCTAACTCTTAAGACTAACTTTACCTACAATTTTAATGTGCTTGATGATAATTTGGATTTTGTCTTTTATGAACTGCCTTTTCATATTCAGGACTGAGACCAAATTGCTTGAAAGGCAGCCTTTTTACTTTCCTGTCTCATTTCCTGCAGCCTGAGCTCTGGCCTCACTCCCTTCCTCACACCCCTCACCAATGACTCCTTAAAGGCTGCATCCTGCCAGACTTCCAGCAGTTATTTCAGTAGGCCTTCTTGGGCTTTTACCACCTAAACCATCCCTTTTTCTGCCCCTGTGCTATTGCTCATGCTGTCCCTCTATGCAGACTGTCCCCCCTTCTCAACCCTGCCCCAGCCTGCCCTCTTGCCCATTGCTGGAGAAATTAATTTCCATGCTTGAAGATTTCATGGAGGCATCTTCAACTTCAGCCAAGCCCTTCACCAGTTCCCCCAGCTTCTGACCTCTCTGGGGGCGCTTCCTCTCTGCTCTTTCACAGCTCCATGCACACCTCTATTCTTGCACTCTGTGTATTGCTGTATCTGCCTCTTGCATCAGACTTCACAGTCCCAGGGATTAAGAACTTCCCATTCATCTTTGTATCCACAGTGCATGCCATGGGCAGGTAGCCAGAAAATCCTGAGCTATTCTTGGTGGCAACACCTGGCCCTGGTCACCACTTCCTGCTTCTTCTCTTGCATTGCTGTCTTTTCCACTTTCCTTACTTTTCACCTCTTCTGCCTACCCTTAAATGTCATGTTCTATTCTTGGTCTTCTTTCTTTCCAGATCAAATAGGTCAATTCATCTGTATAACCTTAAGATTCCTTCTATTCTTTGTATGTGATTTGTCCCCCACAGTTCCCTATGTTACAAGTCCAGTCCTTCGTGTGGTGACATTAAGAAGCAGGGGAGCCATTAAGAGGTGGGAGTTCACTAGGTCATGGTGGGGATTGTTGAAGAGCCTGACCCAGGCCTGTGGGATCCCAGCTGTCATTGGATTTCTGCTGGTCACTGACCTTTCCCTATCACATGGACTCCCCCCACTGTGGTGCTACCTGCCATGAGGTCCTCACTGGAGCTAAGCGAATGCTGGCTCCACACCCTTGAACATCTAGAACTGTGAGCTAAGTAGACGTCTTCCCATTCGGAAGTGCCCTGCCTCAGAAATTCTGTTAAAGTGATGGAAAAGTGACACAATTCCCACAAACTACTGACACTCAAACCTCTCTCCTGAGTCACAAACCATATTTTCCAAAAATGCCTATTAGCTATTTCCACAGGCTCTCAAAGTCACCATGTCAAACACAGTGCTCATTTTGTTTTCCGTAATGGCTCTGTCTCCTTTCCTCTTCCAATGAATAAATGGCACCATCAACTATGTAAGTGGTGCAGCTGAAACACAGCAGTGAAATCCCCCTGCTTGGGTATCTAACTGGTCCGTGGCATTGTAGACCTCCCTTTAGACAAGGCCTCTCTTCCCCATTCCTGACACCTGTTGCAAGTTATACCAGTTAATGTCTTGTGGCAGACAACAAGGATAAGTCTCTCTGATTTGTTTTCCTATGTTTAAACCATTCATTTCCTCTCAATTGTCCATACTACTCCTGGACAAACTGGTCAAGTGAAAATCCTACCCTGGATTCTACTTCCCACAGCTCCCCAGGTGAGCACCAGGAAACCAGGCGTGACTGCCGAGGATAGTGCTGTCTTGTTCATTTCCAACAAGGTGTTCAGTGGGAGACTCAGGACGCAAGGGGGCACTAAAATCTCACCCAACCCTTTGCAGTCAGCTGCTGGGGAGCATCTTGGATGGCCTCCAGTCTCATATTTCCCTCTTGTCTCATGTTTTGTCTGTGCTTTCCCCTGACTAATCCCCTGCAGGCAAGTAGCAAAGGTCACTAATAATCTGCAAAGACACAAATCTAGCAGGCCATTTGTAGCTTGCATTTACTGGCACTCTGGCTAGCATTGGCTTTGCAGGCAATCCAGCTTCTCTCTTAGCTTCTACGTCAGCAGCATCTTGGGACTCTCCCTGGCTCTGACGCCTTCTTCATAGGCTCCTGTTCTGGCTTCTTTTCTTCAGCTGACCCCTAAAGTGAGAGACCTTACTCTTTCTTCAATTTACCCACTCTGACTGGGAGATCTCATGTACTCCCATGGGCTCTAGTGTTATTACCAACACACAGGGACTCATACATCTGTGTCTTTATCACAGGTGCACAGGCATCTGTGAAACCCACAGACACCTACAGCAGAAACCGGATTACACAGAGAGACAGGCATTCACTTCATTTTCTACCTTAGGGAGAGGAGTCTGCTCATTTGATCTGGTCACCCCAGCAGGAATGTGGAACTCTTAGCTTCTGCCCCCTCTCTCTCGCCTTAAAAGCAGTCACCAGTTTTGTTGTTCTACTTTCCAAGCATCTCTTGAGCTCATTGCTTATTCTGTATCTACCTGCTCTGGGTGAGCTGTCTTAGTCCTTCATCCTCTCTCACAGGGTAGTCTTAAGTGCCACCTGAGTGCTCTGCCTGTGTTGGGCTCCAACCTCCTCCTGTTCTAACTCTGGCCCCACGAGTCCAGATACTCTTTCTGTAGTGCAACAAGGATTATGTTCAGCAAGCCTCCAGTTGCTAAACCATGCCTTTGCTGACCTCTCCCAGAACATCACTCACCATTCTCTATGTCCTTGTTTTCTTGCAGCTTTGTACTGCCAGCATGTTGCTTTCTGGGTCTGCAGTGATTTCCCTTGTTAAAACTCAGCTGAAGGACACTGTCTCCTGAAGAGTTTTCCTAATTCCTCTGTTTCTACCATGCCCTGGGAAGAATTCTTGCACATCCTCGTTGCCCTTGACCTGTCGACAAGGCTGCTGAGGCAAGGGTCCCTGTCTTTAGTATGATGCCTAACACAGCACTTTGTACATGACACACTCACGTGCATTAAGTCTTATGGAGGGGTGACATTGCTCAGCACGCACCCTCCCCAACCCTGGCCATAGTCACACACTAAGCAGGTGACATCTACTGGCAATTCTGCTAACGTCACTCCCCAGGGTACCAGGAGACCACGATGAAGCCTTGCTTTGCTTGTTTTACATGGAGTAAAGCAAACCACAGTAGCCAGTGGGCAGAGGGGACCCCCAGAACCCATCCCTTGGAGGCAGAAGCTGAGTCTCCCATCTGCAGGGGGTCCAAAAGCACCTCCCAGCCCAGGTAGGATCAGCACCCCAGTCAAAGCTCACCTTGTGGCCAGGAAGCTCCTTTGGGCATGTGGGCTGTACCTGCTCAGAGCTTTCTTTTCCACAGCACTGAAACTAGAGAGGCAGAAAAGAAAATTTTAGGGTGCAAGAGGGTGAAGCATGAGCTCCGTGGCTGAGCAGCGCCCTCCGCAGCACCAGGGCTGCCGAGGTGGCAAAGCAACCACGAGGTCCAGGCCCTGCAACACCAGCTGCTATTTCTAGAAAGAGAGCAAAGGGCCACACAAATGGGCAAAACAAGAACATGGCTCTTCCAGAGCCATCTGAGTTTAATGATAGGAAATGACTCAAGGCAATCCAAACAAGGCCAGGAGCTAATTGACAGTGTCTTTGTGAATTGCTGTTTTTTAGCTAACAGTTGGGGCCTCTGGATGGCCTCTTTCCGACTGGGAATGACTGAAGCTGCTGAGGAGCTGGCAGTTCATGAGGCTGGGGCTGGGCTCATAAACTGCCAGCAGTCTGGGAGGGATGGGAGAAGTAAAGTCCCGACCTGAAGCCTGGCCAGGAAACAGGTGCCTGTCTCCGGATGTGACACACAGAACCTGTGTGCCACCTGCCGTCCTTGGAGTAGCTGGGGCCATTTACGGTGGGAGCCTTCCAAGATGCACTGTCCCCAAGAAGAATGAGGAGGTACCTGAAGACACTAGACCCAGGAGTTACCAGCTGTAGAAATCAGAGTGACTAGGGCAGTACCCATGGCCCTGTAAGCCTCCTGTAATGAACCACATGTGACTCTGCTCCACTGATAGCATGCTCCCTCAGAATGTTCTGGAAGGGAGAGGAGCTCTTTTCTGTGCCTCCTTCCTTTTACACATGGGATAGCAGAGTGGGTATTGGGGGCGGGGGCAAGGATCTGTCCTAGATCCCGCAGCTGGTAGGTGGCACAGCTGCAGGGACAAACTGGCTTCCGTGGTTGAAAGGTCCCTATGCCAAAATATTGTCTTCTGAGAGAGCCTAGGATTTATGTGGGCTGCCTTCTTTGTGTTTTGTGCACATGACCTGACCTGTGCTTGTGTTCTAGAAACAGCATATACCACGTCTCTGCTTAGAGCTGGCAGAGGGCGCGGATGCTCGTGTTTGCTGAACACATTTTCATTATCAGTGCAGGCAGTTAGTGAGATGGATCAGACGTCATCTTGAGAAGGTATGATTTTCCAGAAAGAAGCAGAGTTACTCACTGTTGAGTGGAAGGTCATGAGCGTGCCATTCCCCCTTGCCCTGTCTCTCAGGTAATCATTATAGGCCTCTTCATACATGGTCTGAACGTGTCGGATGGCCTGAAGACATACAGGAGATGGAGAATCCAGTGAGTGGAAGGTTTCCACTGCCTCCACAAAGGAAAATCTCCTCTTCCGTATTTTCAAAAACAATGCCTTTCAAAGGTTTATCTACATTTTATGCTAATTATGCATGGGTGGAGTCAAGAGCAGAGCCCAGTTCCTAAGATACTTTGGAGGATGGAAGGACACACCAGGCAAGATCATTTTTATGGATGTGCCAGATGTACTAGAGTGCAGGTTCCCTAAGCTGCTGGGGCTTCTGCATCAGTTGAGCCTGAATCCTTCGTTCCCCTCAAACGATTCTGAGGCACAACCAGGGTTGGAACCTATGCAATCTTTGTACCTCACTGGCAAGAAGGACTCAAGTCACCTTGTGACAAGGCTTTTTAAAAGATCATATTCATGATCAGGGTCGGCATGTCGGCTGAGCAGGCTAGTCCTCTGTCTATAGCGCCAGCATCTCACATGGGTGCCAGCTCTAGTCCTGCTTACTCCCCTCCAGATCCAGTTCTCCAGTTCCCTGCTTATGGATTGGGAAGGCAGAGGATGGCTCAAGTCCTTGGGTCCTGGTGTGTGGAAGACCTGGAGGAAGCTCCTGGTTTTGGATTGGTTTAGCTCTGGCTATTGTGGTCATTTTGGGAGTGAACCAGTGAAAGGAAGATCTCTCTGTCCCTCCATAAAGGTGTCTTTCAATGAAAATAAATAAATCTTGTTTTTTAAAAAGGTGCTCATTACCAAGGAAATGTTTTCTTATTGAGATATCATATAAAGTTTAGAGAATGCTTTTTCTGGTATTAGGACACGTGACCCCTCCCCCCAATCCGTAGACATCTCAAAAGGTCCTAAGATCACGAATATCACCAACTACTTCAGAAAACTTTCAAGTGAGTTGACACTGACTTATTCTACGTGTTTATCATATTTCCATCTAAAGTACATTCATGGCACACGAATGCCTGTGAGATGGAGTTAGCTTAAGGTTCCATTCACCTCCCTCTCCCTTTCCTTTGCTCTCTGCCCACAATGTGTACTCCCCCTGTTAATAGCCACTTCTCTGGGACTCCTTCCATTGTCCTGTCCTGCACATCTGGAGCTGGGCAGCAGACTGAAACCTCCTCTTCACTAGCAGACAGCAGGTCAGGATTCACTCTCTGAGGCCTCTGCTGTGGCCAACCATTAACAATAAACTAAGGCTGAATGAGAACAATGAGGGATTTCATGGCTTTCTCATGTATCTGTCACCAAACCCCTACCTTGTTTCTCAAACTGGGGAGCATCTTAAACTAGAGATCTATTTAAAACTAGCATGGACCACTTGATAAATTTAATGAAATTTATGAACAATTTCCCCAGAAAGATTAAAGCGTGCACTTTCATACACACAAGCTCTACATGCACATGACAGTGAATGTAAAAGTTCTGCTTCCCCCATGAGTTAAGGGTCACTTGGTTTTGTAATAACATTACAGGTACTGATATTCCCATATGCTTTGACATGAGAAGAAATGCTTTAATCAGAAAACATTAGAAATAATTGTTACTTACTACACCCTTGCCTATGAAAGCGAACACTCCAGTAGTTACTTCAGCAGCAAATATCACTAGTAGGCAGGTGAAAAACTGTAGAGGAGAGAAAATACTAATTTCACTCATTTAATACCTTTTCAATGTATTTAATGTGTTTGGTCTTTGAATGTGAGTTCCACTGGAAAACAGCAGTCAAGGCTATTATTCTGAATTGATACAGCAGGGAGCATTTGTCATTTGTCCCTTGTTGTCCTTTAGGTGACAGCTGGGTCACTTTAATGCAATGTAGTCATTCAGACATTATTTATTGAGCAATTTATTCTGTGTCAGTTACTCTGGGTGCTGGGATAAGAGTCCCAGGCCACTGCTGACAATGACTGTATTTTGGAATTGGATTTGGACACATGAGTAAAGGCACGTGAGCAAGGCTTTTAGATAGCGCAATGGAAGTCTCACCAGCTAGAACAGTTACTGGCCTCTAAATGCTCAATCCATCCCTGACAAAGAGGAAGAATTCTTGAAAGATACAAAATAAGGCCAGGAGATAGAGAGGAGAGGCACTGACGAGGCCCAGGCTTGGGTAAGGGTGGGCCTTGAGACCCTGGGACATCATGGTCTGGGATGCTGTGTGTGTGTGTGGTGTCTTGCTGCATCGGTTTCTGTTGGTTTTTCTCTGACAAAACTAAGTGATCAAGTGATAAATGAGACAGACAGATGCTAAGCAGTTGGGAGAAGAAAAGAAGAGAAGGAAGAAGGATTACTGTAGAAACAAGTTACAGATTGTTCAGAGCAAGGGATCAGAAGCAGTAGGTAAAGCTACAGGACCCAAAGCCTGCAGTGAGGAAGGAGACAGGGAGGCTGCCTCACAAAACCGTGCCTACTGGCCCCAAGTGCCCACCCATCATCCACCCCAGAGAAACACAGGGCTTCTCAAGCCTTGCTCCTCTTCTTCCTTCTTTCTCTTTGGCTTCCATTGGCAGTTAGCATAAGTGACTTTTGTTTTTTTCTTAAGCAGAAGTCTGAAAATTGCCCCAAAGAGGGATGCTTAAATTATTGGTTTAAGACAGAAAAATTTCTCATTTAAAACATTTCTAAAATTTTAAAAATTGTTATTGATAGAGAGCAGATTTCATGTGTCTCAGGTACAGTTCTAAGAAGATAACCATATAAGCTTGGAATTCTTTGAGTTGCCTCTCAAGCACTTAGTGCAATTTCCTTCCAGCACATCTTTACATGAATGACCTCCGGTTTCAAATTTCCCACGGGAGGCGGGGACACAGATCACAGTCTCCATATGGAAGTGATGAAAACAGATGGAGTAATGCCATGGTCCCAGGTTAAGAGTTGGGGGTTCAGAGGGCAAGCTACGGGCCAGGTGTTCAAACCCTCTTCAGATCAAATCCCTTTCTTCTTCCCCAACCCACTTCTTGTTCCCCGGGCCCCACTTACTGATCCCAGCACACACTGTGATTCCCGCATGGCTCCGCAACATCCAAAGAACCCCACAGCCATCATCAGGGCGCCGGCTCCAACCAGCACATACAGGCCTGCAGGAAAGGGATCAAGGGGAAACCATTCAGAGCCCAGCTGAGCAAATGCCAGCACCACCAGCCTCATGTCCTTTATTGCCATGTGGGTCAGCAATGTCATAGGAAGTGCTTGGTGGGTGCTTGCTGAGTGCCTCATACGCCCCCACCCCAAGGTCTTACACCTGTACATACAGACCCTATTAGCTAGAGGATAGCCAAGGCAGGAGCTATTCAAGTCACGTAGGCTACAAGGACTGGGGACAACATCTGTCATCCTCCCAGAAGTTCAGGCAATCTTGTCACGCCAGGGGCTTTCAAGTGTCCTTGCAAAGAGGGTGGTGTCATCATTCACCTGCAGTTTCAGAAACAGCCCATGTATGGTCAGGAGCCAAAACCTGGAACACAGTGCCAGCCCTTTCTTCTGACCTCTCAGGCCTCTCACTGCGCTCTGAAGTCAGTGGCTGTCAGGACCTCTGAGAAGTGTTGAGGGCACAAGCAGAGCAAGAGGAGTGGGGCTCCTGTCAGTCCAGGCACAGGTGGGGAAGCTGGGAGTGGGCGGACAGAGAGGGAGGCTGAGAGAGGGGCAAAGGTCACACTAAGAAGACACAATTTTCAGCTGAATTTTCACCTGCAGGGGACAATGCTATGGAATTTGGGCACACAGGAGGTGGTCAGGGCTACATGTGAGCAGCCAGTGAGGGCAGGAGAGATGGCACCATCCACCAGGGCACTTTCGTTACTGCGGTCTGAGAGCCTTTGTTTAGCCGGTGTTCTAAGCACCTGGGCCAGGTTTAGTGATTCAATCTTCAGAACAACTCAGTGATGTAGGGACTCTTATTGTCCCTAGTTCTCTGACAGAAAAACTGGACCAGCAATGGCCCTTGATAGTCCCCAAGGGCACAGCACTGGGACTGGGCAGAGCTGAAGGCGCATAGGCATGGGCCTCAGACGCTGGAGCCCCTCCTCGCCTTGACTCCGTCCGGCTTCTCTGCAGCAGTTGCAGCCCTAAACACGGGTGGGAATTCCATCTGTTCCCTAAGTCAAAGCCCAGAACACTTGTTCTCCCAGAGGAAGAAGGGGACAGACAGGCTGGGACTCTGGCTGTGCCGAGAGAACTTAAGCCCAGACTTGTCTTGTTTCCGCCTCAGATCCAAAGATAAGTGAGAACACAATGCAGGCCCTGGCACCTGACTGGTTTGGAATGGAGCTAACAGCTTCCAGTTTATATTTTGCATTTTACTCCTATGAGTCACCTGGAAACCATTGCCCCTGGCTGGGGAGCTGGGAGGGCGAGGGCTGGTGTCCTCCTCCTCCACCCTCACCCAGTGGCAGGGAAGCCCTGAGCTCGGCACTCAGGGTGCTTCCTGGGGCTTCCCTGGCTTGCTGGCAGTGCTTGGGGGACAGACAGGTCCAGGCCAGGCTGCTTGGCTTCCTGCAGTGCCTAGGGCTCTCACGGGGAACTTTCTCGGGCTTGGGTGAAGCCCTGTGCTCTTTGGCCCAAGGGAAGTTATTTATTTCCTGTTCTTCAGCTCCTTCCTCCCTTTCCCTTTTCTCTAAAAGAACTGCACATTAATGATAAGTGTTGGCCCCACAGCTAAAACACCTTATTGTTTTCAAAAATATCTTTATTTTTCAAAGCTCTTTCAGACCTATCACCTCCATCACCTCCTGGTTCCTTGGTGGAGTAAGCCAAAGAAGTGTTTTTGGTATTCAAGGAGAGGGCAGAGGCAAGGGGACTGCAGGGTGGACCCTGTGGCCTAAGGGTCGATTCCTGTTCCACACTCCTCGCAGGGGAGAGGAGAGAAAATTCTGAAAGTGGCAAACCTCTCTGGACCTGCTGAATCCTGTTCAAGATGGGATCCTAACACACTGCACAGCATAAGGTCTTTTAATGGCCTGTCCCTCCCAGTGTAGCTGCTGAACCACCTGCAGCCACAGTTTAATTCCAAGATGGGTTCTGTGGAGCTGTCTGCCTCCCATAGCAGCACATGTGGCAAGTGTATAACCTACTTCCCAAATCCCTTGTTTGCTGAATTCTAGCTTGAAAAGGGGAAAACCATGGGTAAGTGCCTATTTATCATTACCAGCTGGGCTTGGCAGTGCCACTCACTGCTAGGACATGCTACCAACCAGAGCTGTTCTCAGGACACCTTCTTCCCCAACACATTTATCATTTCCATTTTTGCTCCTGGATACTTGATTTTTAAGCTAGGAGCATCACTTCAATCAGTATAGCAATAAGAGAGGGAGGCTTCCAAATGGCCTGTTGGTATAAATGTATCTTAAAATGACTCCCCAGAGTGGTTGTTGTTCAGCCTGGAGGTGAAGGCATGTCAGATCAGAGTGCCTGGGCTGAGTCCCGGCTCTCCCTACAGTTCCAACCTCCTGCGGATGCTCAGCCTGGGAGGCAGTGGTGATGGCTCAGGTGGCTGGGTGCCTGTCATTATGTGGGAGACTTAACTTGAGTTCCAAGCTCCTGGCCTTGATCTGGTCCAGCTGTGGCTATTTTGGACATTTGGGGAATGAACCAGCACATGGAAAATATCTCCATCGGACTCTTCTACCTTCCAAATAAAAATCAACAAATCAATAAATCAATCATTCTTTCCTTTTAGGGACAGGTTATTGATATGATTATGATTTTAGTGGCTCTTTCTTTTTAAAAATTTTTGGCAGCAGATAGTTTTGCATAATCTGAAAATAATTGTTCTCTCCAGCCATCCAATTGCCCAGAATGCTTGTCATTATAGTCAGCCTTCCATCTCCAGGGAGCCACCTGACCTACCAGAATCTACAGATGCTCAGGTCCCTTACAGAAAAGTGTTACACTATACTGATCCTATGCATATCCTTTCATGTGATTTAGGTCGTCTCTAGACCAATTACAATATTCCATGCAATGTAACTACTATTCAAGAAAAAATGATAAGAAAAATCTGTACATGGTAAATGCATAGTTGGTTTGTTTTTGTTTTTCTAAAGCTTCTCTGATCTGAAGTTGGCTCTGACTCTGCAGATGTGGAAGCTTTGGATAGGAAAGGACTCCTGTATACAAACATCTAGTAGGACAGGGCTCAGTGAATGGGAAAAGAGAGGGCCCGAGTTTCTCTCTAAATAGCAACAATGGAGAGCGACAACTCTCAGGGACCGAGTCTTGTGGTAAGCATCGCATGTGCCTTGGAAGCCCACCGAAGTTACCACTGCCTTTTGATGGCTTGGCCTGCTCTGGGTGGCATTTGCTAGCCATCATCTCTAACGTATTGAGAAGCCTCCATGCTGCACAACACCAGTTTCTCATTGTGATTCGGAAGCATCTGAGTCACTCCTTGACCCTTTCCGTCTGGATTCGCCCACACAGTCACATCCCTCACAGGCGACCCCTTCCCCAGAGGACCCCCTTGGAGTAGAAACAGCCACTGACTTTCACCAAGGACTCACCCAAGGCACAGCTCTCAAGCATGGTAATCTGTCTCTGCTGAAAAATCCGAGACACAGAGAAATGAAGTCCTGCACCTAGGATTGCCCAGGTGGTGGAGAGCAGGACTGCCACGGTCCTGGAGGCATCTGCTCCAACGAGGGCACCCCTAACTCACACCTGTATTGTTTGTAGGAACTCAGGATAGTGGCTTGCTTTGCCAAAAAATCTGTTTTCCTTCTTTGTGGCTGACTGTACTTGAGGTGTCTTAGAATGATGATTCTTATTTTCCTCTGAAGTTCAGAGTTTGCAGTCAGAAATCCAAGCCTGCCAACCAGGACTTCAGGTAGATCCTCCTACTCTTCAGTAGTGAGATCTGGAATTGTCTACACTAACTTGTTGTAAAAATGCTTTGAAGAAATTGTGTTAACACTGCAAGTAACAGAATGGACCTGTTATCCAGATACCATGGCTGTCAGGTACCCCTTGAAAACTGAGAGGCAACAAAATATTACCAGAGTGAGTCAGAGGTTTTAGAAAGGCAAGCCAGCCCCGAATGTTCACTCTTGAAACACTTTCCTTCCATGCCACTTGTGGCTACAGCCAAAGTCAGGCTGCGGGACTTGTAATTCAGCAGGGAGAGCCAGTTGCAGTTAGGTCGTGACCCTGGAAAGCCCAGGGGCTCCTGTTTGTGTGGGCAACCTCTTGATGGAGAAACCTGCTCACATCCTCTTCTCCCAGACATGACCTCATGTGCTCCGGCACACTCTCCACAGCCTTCCAGGGGCTAAGGAGAGACTCCCTGCTCTGTACACATAGGAACAAGACCCTCAGGGGTGAACCCAATGCTAGAGGCAGGTCAGACAAGGGTGTAATAGGAAGCAAGCCAGGCAGGTGTCTGGGATCTCCAAGACAGGTGTTTGTTAAAAGCTGGAATGAAGAGGGTAGAGGAAGCCCCGAGTCACCAAGCCCTGCCAGCTCCAGTCTTGCCAGGCTCTCCTTCCACTACCCTAGCAACCAGACAACACAGAGACCCGGGATTGTTCCCCAGGCCTCAGCCAGGGTCCAGAATTCCTTGTAAGGAGCCTGTTGGTGGCAGACAGTCCGGGCACCCTCTGTCCCTGTCCTGGACCCCGTGCCCAGGCCTGTGATCTGCTGCTTCCCTGGCTTGGGAGCCATGCTCAGATCCATATCTCAGGAAGAAAATTCTCCAACAGTAACGAAGGAGCAAGGGAACCAGGGAGGAAATCTCCCCCAAAGCAGAGATGACCCCTTTTACCAGAGTCACCCTCACTTGCCCAGAAGCAAGGCATGAGACAAGGCGTCCTCTAGGGGTTCCCTGCAGAGGTGGGACACCAGACTGGGAGGCCTGGCTTCCTGAAGCACCAGCTGGATGTGCCAAGTCCATTCAGGATACTCTCCAAGAAAGTGGTGATAAGAGTTCAATGGGCACTTGGACCTGGAACCTATTGCTAATAGAGAATAGTGTACTGGACCCATGGACATGGGGTATTTGCAAAAACTGGGTCTGCTTTATATGGTTTTCTAAAAGTTTCCTTACTATTTTTTAAATTATTTTTCCCACAATACAGTTTTATAGGTA